AAATGAGATTTGTACAAAGTTGATTAGAATCCAATTTCAAACAATACGTGTCATGTAAACATAGACAATACTTATTTTAAGAGGTTGTAGAAACTTTCTTTACGATTGATACCTGTTGGTTTCAGGTTGCATTGCCCTAAGAATTTCAACGATTTCAAAGACATCTTAGCATCGATGAAAATTATGCTCAGGGAAATAAACAGATATATAAGTAGGTTTGTAGCTCTATATGAAGATGACAATGATTTTATATTGTCTCAACATGGAAATTGCTTCATGAACCTTTAATCCCTAAGTCTGGTGACATTAACAGCCCTAGTTTCACAGGATAGTCTGGCAATGAAACCTCTACGATGGAATATCAAGGCTCAAAGAATTGCAGTTCTAAGTATATTTCTGAAATAAACCACTCGGTAGAGTATTAAAACCAAGGATCAGTACTTCAAATATATACCATATACCAAGGATGAAGTGAATGCACAGGATATTTATTCATACTTCTAACCACCTGTTACTGACAGATGTTTGCTGTTATATATATATATATATATATATATATATATATATATATATATATATATATATATATATATAATATTCTTTGAACGGATGTCTCGATATTGTTAAAGTTCTAGTCATGATGTAATTTGCTTGGTAGTAGGCTTCCATGAATGACATGCAGGCGCATTCAGCTGACGTTTTCAAAAACAGTTCGTACTCAACGTAGATTTCACTCCTAGTCACTCACAGGCAAATCAAATCATGATTAATCGTCAAACAATAATGAGGCATCGATAAAAGAGCCCATATGTCAACAGTTATTAATTAATTAAGTTTAGTATGCTAGTCGATAAGAAATAAACTATCAATGAATAATAACCGATATGGATTATTAGAGTAGTTTGTCATGACTTAACACCCTAGTGAGTTGTATTCTGGCATTTAAAGCAATGGATACTCGGCTCAAAACTCAATGGGAACATGATCACTAACTGGGACGAAGGTACATCTATATGATAAGTCTCAAAAAAGGATGAAATGTATTTTCTCCATTCCATTGCTTGAAATCAACAAGCAAATTGCATTGTAATTACACTTGGATGCACATACATTATATTTTATTTGTATAGGTTAAGTAATATCTCCTAAAAGCATAATTTCTGTGGTAGTTTTATCTCTGTTATCAGCTTCAAATACACAACACTGAGCAACAAACTTCATACTGTGCGATACATTAGAGATTAAAAAAGCGTGAAGTGGTAATATTGAATTACTGATTGACAATGCTATGAAATACCATGCTTCATAATTAACAAATAATTTAAATTGAATGATTTAAACAGTTTACACTCATACAACCTCTCTTACTACAATTACACCCAACTATTAATGTGGCTGAATTTTGAAGTTCATAGAAATCTATGTGAAACGTGTCATTTATTCTCAAATCCTATTTGGCTAAGCTTATGTTTTTCCTTTTATATTGATTTAGCAGAAACCCTTCCATAATGTCAGCACTTTTACTAGCTATAAAATATCAAGCAAGCTTACATCAACAATAATTCATAAAGTGTAAAGCTTTACTCGTTATCAAAATCAAAAGTTTATGACAGGAAGTGAATGTGATGTCATACATTGGGAATATTTAAGATAACTATTTCTCCGTAGGTATATAATTGTTTTTATACGATACCGTCGTTGATTAGACCGAATCGATCGGTCTTCGTTGGCATATGGGATCCTGTGTGGATGGCTCGATCCATCAATACTATCTTAAGAGCACAAGTAATATCGAGGCATCCACACAGAATCCCATATGCCAACGAAGACCGATCGATTCGGTCCAATCAACGACTGTATCATATAAAAACAATTATATACTAAAAACTATACCCGTCGCACAAAAAGTGGCTATCGTGGCTTGGTGGTGTAGTGAATAACGCTTCGGCGTTTGCAGAGATCGCTCCCGAGTCCAAATCCCGGTGAGAACCACATCACTCACCGGGAAGCAGGTACATCCAGTTGACGAGTCCTAAATAGGACGAAATGAGCATCCTGGATTCCACTGTTAGCCACTATCTATCATTACTATTTCTCCGTAGGTGTTTGAAGGGATAGATTTATAGGCCCAATTTTTGTACTTGGCACCGTTTAACATCAGCTTTGCTGCTATATAGTGTTATCTTTTCATTTTTTATTCCAAAGAAGATGATATATACTGGTTAGCTTCTATATGGCAAAGACTTACAGAAGTTGACCTTCTTATTCATGTGACTAGCTTTCTTACAGGGGTCCTTAGGCAGAATTAAAACTAAGCATTCAAATTTTGTCTGCTTAAAAAGATAAATCATTTTCAGTACTGTTTGTTTTGTGAGGTTGCCTAGGGGAGTAAAATAACTGCAGAAGAACAGGACTTTACACGTGTTACATACCAGTGAAGTGAATACACCTTTGAACTTAAGGATTATCATCTACGGTGTGGAAAAAACTTATTCATAGAATTTCAAGGCTGATACCCAGTCAGCATGCATCATCCAGTATGACTGACACCAACCATCAGTTTTATTTCTTCAACAAATGACAATCTGTTTTCTCCTGACTCAATAGTTATTTAGGCATCACTGCTAGTAGATATAAACGAACACCTGACATTATTAAATGCATTTCGACTACTTCGATGGAGGTTTATAAATTTATAAACTTATTCGCCTTCATTACCTATTTACCTTCAATAGTGTCTACTTTTTGGTTCCATCAAAAGAGAACCATTATACAGATAAATGGTGAGGTGGGCTTGTACCTATTGCCATTTGTTATTCATGCTTGTCTTCTAATCGAAGATTTAGATAATCAGTGTTACTGCTGACTATTAGTTATCTAATAACTATATATGTGGTTCAAGAACATAATAAGAGTGAGAACTTCCAAAATCTTACTTCTAAAGAACTCTGAGTTAAGGCAATAATCTAAGTAAATAGTAAGTAATTGAAGACATATCATCTGTTCTTTTAAGTTTAAAATCATTCCAGTAGAAATGATGTCTCCATAATAAACGTAAATCTAATCGAGGTAAAAATTGGCAAACATCATGCAAGCTGTTTTGTATTTATATAAATTCCTATTTGCAGAAATTCTACAAGATATTCGTGACAAACTTTATAAGGGTTATCGTTCATCATTATATCTTATTATGCAGCATAAAATGAAGGAAAATTTTTATGCTTGTAGACTATCGCTTCTAAAAGGCGTCAGCTTGAAATGTGGCACTTTTATTTAATTTTCTCAGTTTACTTGTGTGTTATATAAATCAAATATGGAAATATAACTTTTGATTCATTCTCATCTGTTAATAGCTTAGAATTCATTATTTCGGGTTGTAAAAGAAAAGTTATTATACACTTTTATCATGTTACTAATTATACAAGCTCTTAATAAACTTGAGTAATACTTTCGTGAGCGATACACTAAATATATTGTGTACATCTATACATATGTATGCCTGTATTATGGTTATTGATCCCGTACTAAAGTAGACTAAACATGTGTTAGACGATGATCGTTTGGTGTTCTCTGAGCTTTGATATTTTGTGGTAAACGTTTCATCATCAAGCTTGGTGACATCTTCAGCACTAACCTCATACAGAAGTGTAACATATTCGACTGTACACGAATATTTAGATAGTATTTATATTGACCTTAAGTGTTGTACAGTTGTAAGTTGGGAAAGAAATTTCTACTATATCCTAACTTTTTTGACCGTAAATTTCTTTTAAGTCAAACTTTTAGATAATCATTGTTAGAGTCGAGAAGAACACTATCTAAATGTTTATGTAGTAATCGAATATGCTTAACTTCCTTATGAAGTGAGTGGTAAAGATGTCATAAAGCCTGATGATGAAACGTATACAACAAAGTATCAAAGCTCAGAGAACACCAAGCCACCACCATCCTAATCCTAAGCTACAGATATTTTCCATCATTTCAAAACTTGTAAGAAATTGAATAAACATTAGAAAAGTGTTTAATATCCGTTATATATAGGTCATCATAATGATGAATGAAATGTTTTATCCAGGGATTTGTTGAGTTTAAGTCAGGTGTTAGGAGAATTTGATGACAGTTGGAGAAGTACGATAAAGCTGTTTCATTCTGTTTTGTGACTGTTCAGTAGTGCACATTTCAGCTTTATGAGAGGTCAAGGCTACGACTGCTAGGTATTAACTTGAGCACTGGGTTGAAACTCAGTGGTTTACTCTTCCTATCTCTGTTAGTAAGCCATATAGAGCGACAATTAGTGATCCTGAGTTAGGTGTTGTGGGTGTGCCCTGGTGATGAGTTCGACGTTAGGTAAAGCCAAGCTATCATTGCTCCCATGTTTTAGACATTTTCCTAGTTAACATTGATGCGTAATGGAAAATAGTAAGACAAACGAAAAGAGAACTTTTCAATAAAAGTCATATTAGTTTGACTGTTTCAGATAGCCATGGTTTGACAGACTTGTATTGATACTGGGTACTTTGCCGGCTGAGGCATGACAACCAACTGCTAGTTCTATTCCTGCAACAGCTTAGGTTTTCATTTCACCTTCAATCATCACAGAGTAATAACTGTATGACATTTAATCTATTTCCTCTATTTTGATTAAATATTTTATCAGTAATTCATAATATGAATGCTAGTTAGATTAGGTAATATCAGAAAAGTATCATAAAGTCAATGAAGGGGTTGCATTTAGAATTTCACAAGTGCTACACAGATTATTTTATGAAATCGATAAACAGTGTAATAAGAGTAAAAATGTAAGAATCATGTTGTCATCAGGATCATCATAGTTGCTTTCTAAACAAAAGATTTATTCTATATTAAATATGCACAATTATTACGTTGATAGAAATATCTATTGATTAACTTGAAATGTTTCACTACAGTTCCACTATCTAAATAGTATAAGTCTGATAGTATAATCCAATTGTGATCAAATAAAGTATAAAATGACTTACACGTATTTGATTCCAGCGCTGAATAAAATGTCTTGATATATCACAGGCTGCAGTACCAACAAATACACATCCAACATCATGCCATGGCATACGTGGTACACGTGTTCTATCTACTAAATCTGAAAACAAAAATAAAAATTTTAAATCAGATTGATATAATAATAACAGTGTGTTTATACAAGAGTTGATAAAACTTGAAAGAAAACAACACAGTATTTCAGGATAGTTCGAAAAATATGTTTTAAGTTTTCTAATAAACACATATCACTTTGACATGATTGTCATAAATAAATTCTGCTGGAAATTTTAACAATGAGTAATACTAATTCACTGTGTGATACATATAAAAGGGAACCTTAATGGAATTATACTCTACCACAGTGCTTAAATTCTCCTCTAGTATTAATTTAAATTGGTTTTCATTAGTTATCATATTTTGTGGTAGACCAAGGATTCGAAGGACTGGCATACCTTTCACATCAATTATTGATTTCATAAGTTCGAAAATTTATCAACTACTGAAATGTTTATCAGTAACTTTGAAATTATTTCAATATGACATTTTTTTTCAAGTTGTTATTCATCGTAGACTGACATCAGTTGGAGGAAGAAAGGAAACCTGGGAGCACTGGACAGCTGTTTCGTCCTAGTATGGGACTCCTCAGCAGTGCGTACCCACAACCCCGCCAGGGATCGAACCCGTGACCTTCAAGCTCCTTGGCCAGCACGTTACCATTGAGCTAACCACTGGGTCAGAATCCAGTGGTCCATATTTCCAACTTCTGTTAGCTCACAATATAGCGCAACTGCCACCCAATATCATCGCTGAGTAACTGTCCTCACGACCGTCAGGCTTTACCCCCACCGGTCACAACTTCTCATTAGGACTTCGGGAATACGTCTCGAAGCTAGTCACCAATGAGCACCAATTTAATTGAATTTTCAGTGAGTTGTTAATATTAAAAGTGTAGAAGGTTTTATAAATGAACTGATTAAGATAAATGTAGAAGAAGATGAAACGTTTGCAAGTTTTGTTGTAATTTCTCTTCATTTTAAAACCTGGGAGCTATTTCGTTCTAGTTTTCCAACTGATATTAGTCCGTAATGAAAACAACCTCAAAAATAAGATACGCACTAACCGCAAACTATATTACTGCATAGTTTTCCTTAGTGACATGGTTCAGGATGGATATCTCAAAGTTCTGATGAAAAGCTGTGACCAGTGGGGTAAACCAGTTGGAAGGGGAGCGGATGTCAAGTTAAAACCTTGGATAATAGTTACGCTATATTGCGAACTGACAAAAGTATGTAGCTGTGAACAGTTTACCCCCAAACTCAGTGGCTCAATGGTTAACACTTTCACAGGGCGAACTGAAGGTCCCGGCTTCGATCCTTTGCAGGGTGCGGTCATGGGGTACGTACTGCTGAGAAATTCCATATAAAGACAAAATTGGGGGCCAGTGCTCCCAGGTCCTTAGTGGTTCTTTAGCTGATGAATGTTACTTTTAAAAGGAAATCCCCATCAGCTTAAAAAATACATTCTATTATTTTACTATGCCGATATTTGAAGTCATTTAATATTGTACCCAGTGCACTCAATGATGACTATGCTTGACTGGATAAATGTTAAATTCCTGCAGAAAGCATAATAAAATCCTTGAAAGCATTTTCAGAATCAGCATTGCTTTGGCGACAAACTATAGGGTCGTATAAATGAAATGGCTATGACTTTTAACAGTGTCTCAAGTTAGGGTAAATCTTTATGGAGAGGCTGGTAACTGTCTTCAGTATCAACTCAGAATATGATACAAACATGTAGATGGTACATTCTTGAAAGAGTGGATGAAAAATCTTTTTATGAACAATTTACAAAGTCTACAGAACTAATGTTTGAATTATAATCTAATAATGGGCTGGAAACTTCATACAACACTGTCTTATCCATAGAACAAATAAAACGAAATTCGAGATTAATAATATGCACAAAAACTGACAATAAAAGATATTCAGATATGTGACCAGATTACCCAATCAACTTGAACTTATCAAATAATAATAATAATAATATCATTATAGCAGATCCTAATGAGTTGGCAAATGAAACATGATAAAGTGCAACAAGTTTTAGTAGAAAATAGAGTTTTAGAAAAATATCCCTAAGCAACACCACTGAATAGATTTTATTATTATTATTATTAGTCCCTTGGGTTCCTAGTGGAACATAGGGCTTCAGTAGCACGCCTCCAGTGACCTCTGTTCTCTGAGATCTTTTGAACCTGGTTCCACGACAGCCCACAACCTCTCATTTCCTCCTCGCATGACCTCCTCCATGTCACCCTCAGCTAGGACGTCCAACTCGTCGCTTCCCATGGGGATTCCACTCGAGCAACTGGCCTGACGCGTGATGTCCTCAGTCGGCCTTCTCAGTGCATGGCCAATCCATCTCCACTTCTTCCTGCATATTTGTTGCGTGATAGGTTCTTGGTTGGTTCGTCACCAGCCAGAGTTCCTTGTTGCTTATTTTTTCTGGCCATCTGATCTTCAGCAGCGAGCGTAAGCAGTTGTTGATGAATGTCTGTAGTTTATTGGAAATCCCTTTCGTGACGCGCCAAGTCTCTGAACCATACAAGAGCACTGACTTGACTGGGTTGGTGTTGAAAATCCGTATCTTGTTCCGCATGCTGAGTGCAGAAGATCTCCACACTGGTTTCAGGCTAATGAACGCCTGTCTTGCTTTTCCGATTCTGACTTTGACGTCCTCGTCCGTGCCGCCTGTATTTGAAACAATGCTTCCTAGATAAGTGAAGGAGGTTACTTCCTTTAAGTTTCTCCCGTTGACGGTGATTGGAGTTTGTTGTTGTTGTTTAAAACTACATTTTTAGGATGAGATTTTGTGTAAGCTTAAATTAAATTCTTCAGTAGGATGATTAATTTGAAAATGTTTCATAAACTGAATGGTTCATCAATTTTTAAGTCATTCATAAGTTGTAAAATCCACTTTGACATTTCTCATAGCAAAATAGTTTTTCAACTACTGCTCAACTGTGATATCAGCATAGTTTCCATTGGAAGCCATTCAGCTGAGATCACAACATGTGATCTCTGATATGACAGTGTTACTAACTAGCAAAAGATACTACCACTAAACAACCTACGTAGTTAGAAACCACCCAGGTTGATCTTTAGTATTTCACCAGCTAGATCAGAGTGGTCTAAATACCGGATGTCTGGACCAGTTCAGCTTCCACAGCGCGTAATCCGATTGTATACGAGTGCATCCGCGTACGCTGCTAACGGGCTCGCCCCCAAACTAGTGAAATAGTCGTCAGGTGTTTAGATTACTTTGATCTAGCTGGTAAAATACTACAGATTAGCCTGAGCTGTTTTTGACTACTCAAGTTGCTCTTTCATTAAATTAGATCTTATGCATACAAGATTTTCTTATTTAATGCAGCATTTATTGTCATACTGACTAAACGATGTTTTAGGTATAATGAATATCACCTGATTGTTTCATGATGGTCACATAACGTTTGATATTTAAGTTTAAGATTTTATAACTACTTAGTTTTTTTAAGTTAAATGGTAGCAGAATTTTTCATACATGAAAATGACTGAATGTTGAATAATTCCTATTGCACGTGGTTTCGCATTCATTGACCGATTATTATTATTATCAAACTTTGTATGACCATCTTGATGGTTTACTTGAAATATGTTGGATTTAAAAATACCGCATTGTTGGACATTGTATTTTTGATGTTGTAGCGCAGTGCTCTTTTGTATATGCATATGCATTAAACTTGATTTCGTTTTTATAACCTGATAGTTTTTATTTTGTTTGTCAATTATTATCTGTCATTTACACAGTCTATGTAAATCAATATCTAATGTGATAATTTTTTTTTCTCATCATAGGCAAGAAAGATTAAATCTGCACCAAGAGGAAGTGCAAAACGAATCATTCAGCGTCTTGTTCCTGGTCTACTACCATCACATCCATGTACTCCATGGACTGAAACAAAATTATCTACTGTTCTTGTAGATCCAAGACAATCTACAACATGTACTGTACAAGCTTTACGAAGTGTTGCAAATTGGTCATTAGGAGTTCATTCTGATGATGAAAAAGAATTTCGTAAATCTTTTCGTAAACTTTTTCATCAAAATTTGCCTACACCATCTATGAAAGATATTAATTTAGATGAAAATAAACATCAAATTGGATTAGAAACATCTGTTTTATCTGCATATATTAATATGATACAAGAAGCGGAACATTTTATTTATATTGAAAATCAATACTTTGTTAGCTATATACTTGGATCACAAGATCAGCATGATGAAGAAATTTACGGTAGTGAAGGAAATAATACTGATGTCAAGAGTACTCATAGATCTGGATCTGAGCATCTACCACCTAGTAATTCTACTGGTTTAGTTAAAAATCGTATATGTGAAGCAATTTATCTGCGAATATTACGAGCTCATAGGTAAGCGAACTTGTTAAGCTAATGCTGTATAGTGTATCTGATAAATACTATCTTTGTCATACGTAAAAGAATATCAGCAAGTAATTTCAAAGTGATTTAATAGTATATTGACAAACGAAAATTCCCACATGGAAAAAACAACACCTTGTTATTTGTTTACACCACATCTACCGACTGTAGAAATATACACTTTTAGTTCTAGCAAACTACAGGCGTATTGCTAAAATCTGAGTTTAGCTGAAAGTCAATCAGACTGAATCTTTGGAAAAACAAGCCCTATCTATGCTAGCTACCAATAAAAAAGTTGATAAAACTTTAGTGACGGCCAATCACGTTCGAGTGCGTACTGAACAAACAGAATAGAACATCTGGAAGAGTAACATAATTGTTGAGAAAAATAGTGTTTCATTCATAGTATATAAGTCTACTCTATGTGAGAAAAAAAGATATCCAGAATTCCAATGGATTTATCGTCTTTGGAACCATATCATTTGCCTTATTATCACCTATCCATATGTGACTATATCATACCCCCTCGCGGTCTTGCTAAAAGCCTTAGGAACTTTTTAAAACGACTCCATATATTACCAACGTTGTTCGTATGCACTCCATTTGTCGGATCAATG